AAAAAAAAAAAAAACAAATAAAATTGAAAATAAAAGCAAAAGATTAAAGAATGTTAAACTTGTCTCTAAGGAAATCGGTAAAATTGTAGAATTTAAAAGAAGAAGAAGGAAATCGTGTAACAGTTAGTATTTCTAACATTTAAGAATTCTTGGACCACATCAAAGGCGGATACGTCCGAAGAAGTGCTTTTTTCGCGGTTAAAGAACAATTAGCAATTAGTCGTGGAACAAAACAGCAAAAGATTCTTCAAGGAATCATTCAACGCGACAAATCTAAACTTTCCCTTTGTTTTTATTAATTCGAAAGTAGATTTTAAAGTAGCAACATTCAATTGAAAACAGAATGGAGAGAAAAGAGAGAGATCTTTAAAGTTTTCCATTCTTGTTCGAGAAGTGTCGAAGAAACGGAGATTGGGCAAGGAAGTCAGCAGAGGGAATGAAGATGAACGTAGATGATGAACATAAATGCGGGGGTGTGTAAAGAATTTCGAAGGTTAGTCGACGAACGTCACTGTGAGAGACAAGAGTCGAGAACAGCGTGGCTCTGAGGGGCTATAAAAATCGTATTTTGGCGGGAGACCCACGTTTGTAGGTTGTATTTTCCCTTTCTATGACCCAATGCAGCTTTATCGGGTCAGTTGCATTTGCATTGCGATGCGCACGGCGTTCCCGTTTCACAACTCTCTCACGTATTTTCCCTCCTTCTCTCTCGTCTGTCGCGCCGTCCTTGCTTTTCACTCGTTTCCCCTTTTCGTCTATCGTCCTTTTTATTTTCACGTTAGTTTCCTCTTTTCCATCCACGTTCCTGTCCGTGCAACGTGCTCCGATGGACCGTTTGCCTGGAAAATCGCCGACTATTCTCTTTTAATTTAAAGAAATATCGCTTATCATTCTTCTTATTATTTTTGCGTTCTTTGGAAAATTTTGTTAGAACTTGAAAGAATAGAAGATTTCTGTTTTTGAATTATTTTCAACCTATATTGAATTTTTTAATATTTGTACAAAATATTTCGATTTTTTTTGATAAAAGTTTTGCTAATGTTATATGAATATAGATATAAAAAAAATATTATGTAAATGAATTGTTAATTGTTAAATATAGAATACAAAGGTAATGATAACACACTTGTGTCAAAATATTAATTGCTAAACATTAATATCTCATTTCAAAATTTTTCTTATTTCTAATGATTGAAATTGATTCAATGATACAAAATTCATTATTCTTTGATTTTATTTTATTTTGATAAATTAATCACCAATTTTTTGAATCAGTATATTATGTGTATTATTAATTCTTGTGTTACGTTTTAAAGATTAATTATTGTAATCCTTTTTAAAGGAAAAAAATGAAATATCGGAGGAATGAACGATGATTATAACCACAATGAACGTTTTTGTTCGATACTGACATTCTCATGGCTTACCAAACTCCATCCATTACTACTACGCGCTATCTGATAGCTGCGATCGAATGCTCGATTAAATTTCTACATTAAGCGATTCTATGAATCCGTATATGTTTTCTCATGCACATACTGGAAAAGATCATTACAATTACCGTTACGTAATCAATTTAAAGTAATAGAAGAAAGGAAGTACATTGTTTAGTGCCATTTTATACTACGAATTGCGATACTACACATGCGCAAGTGATGTATATATAATAGAGTTTCGTTCTTCCTTTGAACGCGAAAAATAATTCAGGCAGTCGGAGCTTAAATCAGGATCACCAGTGATTTAAAAATCACGGCGTTAGCAATCAGAGCGCAAAGTGGACTTGCCGAAGTCTAGTTGCTTTTGCCAGCCAACCTTCACCAAAGAAGACCAACACGGTGCCGTAAACATCACTGATAGATGGATTGTTTTCGCGCCTTTCCAGAATTGTTGACTCACCAAACTTCGACTTGAACTAGACAGCAAAAACAGCGAACAAATCGAACATTCTTATCTACATAACATTGTTATGTAACATTATATACAAAACTAATGTGCATTTAACGGATATCAGAGAAGGGTGCATTTTCTGGATGCATTTATTCGAAAATGTTTTGGTTGCCCCGTTGGTAACCCTATCTGATACCAGGGCCAACATTGTACCGCGCTGGCGTCGCTGCTGCCGTTTATCTCATGAAACTCCATTACCGACGTTTTCTCTGAATTCCGCGCTAAGCAGACGCGAGAGCACCGTGAGCTTGACGCAATGAAATTTGAACGCGCGGTGCGACGCCTCTTCTATCCTTTTCTCTTCTTGTATATCCTCTCTTTCTATATCTATCTCATTCTTACTTGTGCTGTGCTCGCTATTCTTATCCTTTTCCTGCAGTGGTTCCATCGTCACAATCTCTCTATCTTTGTTTTATTCCTGTTTTCCTCCTTTTCGTTCGGGCGGAAAGAGTGGGGATAGACGCCTATCGTGTCGGACGAAGGGGCGTGGTGTGAAGGGAGGGAAAGCACGAAACGTGGCAACACCACACGACCGTGCCACTAGCAATGGCGTAGATATGTATATTGGCAACGCAGCAGTGACTCAGCACCGGGTAGCAGCGCTCTTGCTGCTGATGGTACTGGTGCGCTACGCTCTGCGTTGGCTACGTGATATAAGACAACGTCAATGTAGACCTTTTACAACTCGGTTTTGTAACTCGATTCTGTATGAATACCCGACCAGACGTCGTTTGCTCATGGTGTCACGCCGCGACGTCGGAGATACGCTGACGGCGACATGTTTGCCAACTGAGTCCACTTTCATGGAACACGTGTCGAAAACAACGCGTACCGAAATCAATTCGAATTATGAATAGATTTAGCACTAGTCTGGTTGGAAATTGCATTCCTTAATTTAATGATGATATGATCATATATCATTGAAGCTAATTATTAGAAATAATTTTTTAAAAAAATTTTTTTTCATGAATATTAATAACGCATATATAACCTGAAATATTTGAATACATTATAAATTAAATTATATGATATATCCATAACTATCTTTGATTTTATTATAATTGCAATATCTTGAACGAATATTCTAACTTAATACTATAAAAACTTTAAACGAAAATTTATGTTCATTCTATTTTTAGTACTTAGAAATAATACCGTTGAAAAGTGGAGCTTAAGTGCCAAAGTACGACAATGTCATATCAACAGCCGATAAAGCAGAGACTCGAGAGTAGTATTACATGGAGACGTCCTCGTGGCCAGTGGTTTTGTTATATCGTGCCGGTGTTTAGAATTTCGTGCAAGCGAGCCCGGGAACTCCTTGCCTGCATCGATGACGAAACCAAGGCATACGAGGAGAGAACTCTGGACTGAAGTCTGACTTGGTGGGAGCGGCTGAAGGCCGGCGTTTTGTAACAACGAACATACCGGACTCCGGAACGCCTACGACGAAATTTTGGCGTTACTCATGGTTCGATTAAGCAACTTTTCTTTTATGTTTACGATACTTCTTCTTGCTTCCATAATTTTGCGTAATTTTTTTCGTAATATTTCTATGCAATCATTGTGTTTTTGTGAGAACATACTTAATAATAAATTAGATTTGTATATATGTAGCAGTAAGTATATAATATATATTATATAGTAAGTTCGTACTAAGATTTTAATGTATTTAGAATTTGTATATAAATTATGATAAATATGAAAGAGACATGAAATTTCGTGCTATTTTAGTATCATTGAAAGTTTTATGTTTCAATTCCATTTTATATTTAATACATAATGTAGGTATACATATTTAAATAAATTATTAAAATATAAATTTTTTATTGAAATCTATACCAGAAAAATATAATAATATCATTCTATCAATTTCAAGAGATGTAACGAATTTCCTGTAGTTTTTCTAGAAATCGATATAAGCTGTGCTAAATATAATTATAGTTCGCACATTAAATTTTCAAATGATTTGGAATATCTAGCAATTGTTCTTAATAGCACATTCCAGTATTCCTATTTTTATATTCCGATTTCTATTCATTTCAAAAGTTTTTTTTTTAATGATTACGAAATTTTAAAAAGAATATATTAGATAATTAAATAATTTAAGATTTCAAAATCTTTTACTATTTCTTATATATTTTTAAAATCGTTAAGAATTGAACAGTATTTGATATCTATTTTTTATTATTAAAACTAATTTCAAAAATATAATCAAAAAAAGACAACAATGAATTAATCATTAATATCTATTGGTTAATATTTCTCGATTCCACGCACAAATAAAACTTTATTAGCGCTGCAAACACGGTGTACATGATAAAACGGGAAGAATAAAACAGTGGTGAAAATAGAAGTATATAGAGAAATTGAAGAGAGAAATAACGTAATGATAGAAAAGGATAGAAATATATGTATAGATGGAGCTCTGGCGCGGGAAAGATGAAAAGTGAGAAAGATGACCTTTGTGTATTATGTGTTCTGTCTCACTTACACAAAAGTAATCTATACTACAAACAAAATCGCGGGATTGCGAGAAAAGCTGGGAATAGAAGGTAGCTGCACTATCGGCGATACGTCAGGATGTCGAAGAGGGAACCAATCGTTTCTGGTGGAATTGGGCTCATAGTGCGCGCATATGCATCCGTGAAGAGAACTGGTTACCGACCGCGATTCGATGAACGCGGAAAGTTCCCCAAAGAGGACCGTTGTAAGGCGCCTGAACTTGATGTAGATGAGAATACGAAAATAGTGCGAGGCGCTGCGCGAAACATGGCACGTTGGCATTTGCCACTGACATGTTAATTATATTTTTGACAAGAAAAAACATATTTTTGAAATGATTTCTTTGGAACTCTGACATAAGTTACATATATAAAAATAAAAGAAACACTTTCGAGATGTTTCTAGAACTTTATTTTCGATTACGAAAATCATTTGAAGTTATGATCGATTCCTTTTTCTCTTCTTTTATTTTTAACCGATAAAATTTTCATTCTTATCAATTTTTTTCTAGATTGCGATACACAAGTATTCATCGATTATCAGACAATAAACGGTATCTAATCAGAGAAAATGATTTAAAAATAATCGACGATGAAACAATTGACGTGGATAACTTTGTCATGATTGTTAAAACGTAATAGATTCATTTGCTCTATCGTTTTTAAAATAATTTCTTCTTATATATCATAATTTGTCATGTTGATATATCACTTCTTTAAATTTTTTATAATTTATTATCCATTGATGTACCATTAATCCTATTTCAATTTTGTATTTTTCATCATGATTTCATTATTTGTAGTAAGATGATATGCGTTGGTTTAAACACAAAGATGTTTACGTTCGTAATTATGAAATTGTTCTATAACAATACCTACCAATATATAAATATGAGTGTTCTAGCTTGAAATGGAATGCACTTGGGTTGAATTTTGCGGGGAGAAAGTATACGAAAGGGAAGAAAGTGACAAGGATGTCTTTTAGCCATGTTGCGACACATGGAAACTTGGCGAAGTTTAATACATATACAGTTCCTTTTTCGATGGTTCTTTTTATTCGTCCACGTTTATGTGCTCCACATACGAGTTGCCGGTGCACAAGTTGTCTCTTTCACTTTGCCTTGATCTCTAGCCGAACTAGATGCTGCAAAGTTTTTTTTTCTTTTTAAATTTTCATTAAGAATGTATCTATTATTCTAATTCTATATGATAAAAAATGAGAATTAATCTTTTTTTTGAATTTTCATTAATAATATTCAAACTATAATTTAATTATATAAAATGTATGTATTTAATTTTTTATTGTCTATGTATAATTCATATATTTAAGTATGTACTACTAAATAGCTGCATAGTTTCAATGTTCAAAAGAATTTAGATTTAAATGCTTTTTATAGAAATATTTAAACATTATAATTTAATTAAACATTATAATTTAATTTATTTCAACATTAGTGAACTTATAGCTTTATTCTGAAAAAATTCATACTCTTTAATTTATTTCAGTAAAACAAAAAATTAATATTTAAAAACATAGATTAAACTTATCTAAATATTTCTTGCAAATATAAAAATAAACTTTAATCTGTTACAAAATTGATTTTAAAATCAATAATTAAATATTTTTTTAGTTTTTTCTGTAAAAATTATGAATCATTTAAATTTTTTTTCATTACTTTATGAAATATATATTAAAATTCTTATTTTATCAGATCTCTTTATCAGAAAATAAATCTAACTATTATATACTTTTTTACATTGCATGAGGCAAAAGCAAGAAGTTCGCTTTTTATGCATAGATTTCTGATAGTGGTAGAAGAGTTATTTAATTACCTAAATAAAAAATGAATTTACTTAAACGTGGTATAAAAATTTTTTGTTTGTGTCTAGTTAAAATTTCAAATACATACATAAGTATATTGCTTATAATATAAAATATACATTCTATAATATAGAAAATACTTATTCATGTTGAATCTATATCATAATCTTGAAATGGAAAGATCGATAAAGCTAAACGAATACAAACATACAATGATATATAATGATAAGATGAAATAGAAAAGATACAAAATCAAATGACAATATAATATATTGATATTATAATTTTTTCTAAAATATTAACATTATAAACAATTAATATTAACTATAATATTAATTATTAATATAAACTATTAATCTACATATAATATTAATATGAATATTAAATTTTAATAATTTTAAGTAAAAATTATAATATATATGTATATTTATTAATATAATTAAAAACTATAAAATTATTGAAAAAATGATATATATTCCTAAAAAGAAATAAGAGAAATTTTAATTGTACAAATGTTTTCACGCTATGTATTTATTCTAATTACAAATTTTATTTTCTATACCGAGAATCTAGCTTTTGATGGTGAACGCAATATTGGATGCGAAATCATACGAAGGGACAGCTGTGCCACGTACTGTGGGTCTCTTGGAACATCAGGCCCCACTCTGTCTTATTGTCGAGGCTATAGTACGGATGGCACGACA